TTTATTTAAATTTAGTTTAATTGAGATCATAATTTGATAAGAATTAATTTAATGTGAGTGAATTTGATATTTAATTTAATTTGCCACTTAAGTGTAAGTCTAGAATAATTAGAGGCTAATTGCATATCCTTGAGCCTATTCTTTAACACAATAAGAAAAGAGAGAGACTTAGTGGGAATTCTTGGAGACAAACATTGTAGAGACCTCTAGAGAAAAAGAAAGAGTTCAAGAAGGAGAAAGGGAAAGAACTTCACAGCCTTCAACAAATTGGTTCCTTTAAGGTAGGAATTCATCTCTCATTCCATAAAATTGAGTTATAATACACATGAACTCATAGGATTTAAGTTGAATCAAGATGAATTCAAGCATAAATTAGAAGTTTTGTTCAAAAGAATAAGAGTTTAACATGAATATGTCTTAAATTGGAATTTTTGTTATTTTAAAAATATAGCTATAGTGGCGTTTTGAAAAACGCTGCAATAGATTTTTTTTTTTTTTTCAAACTACTAATTTTGTAAGATTTAACTTTAAAAATATACCTGTAAAATAGCAATAATGAATAAAACTTTGTACAAACATATATTTCTGTGAGATTACTATTCCCTCACATATATAATAGTACCCAATACAACATCCTTCAAGAAAAAAATCTAATAAGTTCAATCCCAACATCATTCTACCTGTGTATGTTTTATCTTGGGCAAAAGCATTAAATAGAGAGAGTATAATATCTACAAAAAAGCTCATCATCAACAGTCCAGTAGAAATTAAAAGAAACAAATGCCAAAGGAATGAAATTACATCCTGCCAAATGCATTTAAATTGTTTATTGATAGAACATTTTTAGAACACATCAGAGGATTTACAAAGAACCCACAAATCTCTGTTGTGTTTTATACAAGTGCATGAATCAATCACAAAAAGAAAAATAAAATAAAATCTGTGATTTCTCAAATCAATGTCTTCAATTTGGAATGTTCACCATCTCAGCTTGGCTGGGAAATACTGCAAAAAAGTTCACTAATTAAGAATGCGAAAAATCAAGATAAAAAAAGAAAAAATTCGAAAAATAGATGTGCATAGAAACTGGTCACGGAACTCATAAGATGCTCCTTGTGAGTGAACTATTTTGTAAATGGTTTCTACACACCTAGTTTCCTGACTAGTGTAGTGCTCACCTTCTCAATAAGAGAACGATAGTATGGCTTGACCTTCTCGACATCAATGCGCACTTTGCTCTTACTATAGAGGTCATATTTGCTGCGTAAATTCGAGAAATTTTATGCAAAACAGTAAACTTTGTTAGTTATATTAGCATAACACATGAAATTAAAAACAAAATGCTAAAAAACAGGGGTTACTTGAAAATTTTCAGCCACTTCAAATTCTCAACATCATCCGCATTCATCAAATGTGTGTATGCTCCTGACTTGTGTAATGCTGCAAGATGAATGATCCAGATATGCATGTTATTTATTAAAAACTAATTTTTGGAATTTGAAAAAAAATATTTTGGCATAAATGCTTACGATAAAAAGAGTGGTATCGGATGATGAACAATGCAGCTGGAGGCAAAGTCGTTCCATGTTCCTTAGCCACCTGAAAAATGTAAATCCAAATTACATTAACAACCTGTTTTTATAGCATTAAAGATCGAAATTTGACTAAATACTTGAATATTTTCTAACGAGGTGAAACTGAGGCACATACCAAATACATGTAATCGTCATGCCCCCACGATATCATTACATTATCTAGTTCATAACCTTCTGAGTAAATTCCATTCTTGGTGCTGTAAGTAGAATTTTTTGAATCCAAATTGTACTCGAAGTACTGCATAAATAGTATTTATTCAAGTTTGTTAAGAGTCAAATTATTAATTAAATAACTTCTTGTTAAGTTTGGAGTTGAAGAAGCACACCTTGTGATGAACAATTGATTCGTCGAAAGCACAACCAAGAGGGAAGGTGTCTCCTGTAACGTCAATGTTAATTAGTAAACTTAAAAACTGGTATATCAACGAAATACCTGGTCACACAGTATAACTGTCTGAGGGCCAAATACTAATTTGCTGAAACCATGGCCCCTGCATGCATCATCAAAAATATAAGCTCACAAATGATGATTACGAAAGAAAAAAATAAATAAAAGAAAAAGAGACAAAACTGAATTGCAGAATTTAGCAAAAAAACACCACACAACAGAGTTTTTGCATGCATTTGGTCCATGGGAGGCAAGAATTTCTATAACCAAATTGAAAAATGTTTCTGTTTAGTGGAACCATTTTCAAGAGCCTTCTATTGGTGAAGGCTTATGTAAACTATTAAGAGACAGCTTAAGCTTCTAAAGAGAAATTATGGTGAGAAAAAAAGAGTGTGAATACAACCTGCACAGTGCACATCCACCAACATCAGTCTCTGTAGTTTCAACAATGTGGATGCAACGCTTGGTTATCTGTTCTAGAGGATCTATTCCTATGATTCTTCCAGCTACCACAACATTTGCATTGTGTTCCACAAATTTTTCTTTCTGGAACATGTTTTTGCAATATTTGCAATACCAGGTACCACTGGGGATGCTAGGTAGAGAAACACACTCTACAATTGAACAAAACAAGTAATTATACAATGCTGTCAATAAGTGGTTTGAATGCATTACTTAAGAAATGGATAAAGATAAACAAAGTACTGTTCAACCACTCTACACTAGCGCAATTCAGAAAGTTGAACAAACAGCAAAAAGGTTTGAGTATAAAGAAAAAAAACCTATAGACAAGACATTATCACAAGAAAAGACAGAGGCAAGCATCCAGGGAATTGGAGCTACAAAACCAGAAAAGAAATTAAAAGACTGAAAGGGAAGTCATTCAAGAAACTTGAATCACCTGGGTGAAAAGCTCTTGGGCAATTATCACAACATAAAAGATCTACTCCATCTGCACAGATTGAGCAAAGATCATCGTTTTCCTCGGCAGATAACTTCTGCAGTTGTGACAATTTCAAAGACAACTCAAAGAGAGACACTCCATTTGATGTATAGATGTGTAGGTAACTGCATTACGGGAAAAAAAGTTATCTAATGATGTATAAATGGTCACAGAAACCACATGTTCACTACACCTCCCAAAAATATCAAAAGAACACTCACGGCTTGCGACGAGAAGCCCAACCCGCATGTGCTTCAAACTGAGAAGGGCTGACCTACTTACAAATGTTGAAACAGTAAACACCTTAATGAGAATCAAATAAAGATGTAACTCGAGCAGCAAAAAAAAAGTACCTCACTTTGGCACCAAAAGCAAAATATTCCAAAACCCTTCTTATAACCTTCTGTGCATTTCTGTAGATGACAAGTAATCAGAAAACAAATACATATCACAACAAAGTGCTTCACTAGGAAAGCGTTGCTTCCACAAAAATAAAAAAATATGTTAATTGTTTAATACATTTGATCTTTATAAAAAGCAACATAAACATTTCCTTAAACCAAAATAATAATATGTATATGCTCATCTTAACAACCTGCCCACGAACAAAATAAGCTAGTTCAGTTCCATCAGGCAGTGCATCATCTTGAAATACCATATCACTACCACACAGTATCTAACTAACATGACTGATCACAATTAACACAGCTGTCACAATAAATCTTCGCCATATTTCACTCTTGAAAAAAGATTCAGCATCATTATTGAGGACTGAACCAAGGCGTACAAAGTCCAAAAATCGATTTTTAAACATTTTAGGCTCGGACTGCAAGGTTCCAAAGTCTTCTGTATTATGTGAACTGGTTAGATATACCCCATCATCATTTTGTTGCAAAAAAATTTTAGGACTTTGGAGTTGATTCGAAACATAAGTACATGATCTTTTATTTTCTTTTGGTAAAAAGGGTTCATTGAACAATACAAAATGCCTCCTGTTGAAACCTTGGTTAGCACAGTAATAACCAAATAAAAATTTGTTTACAAATATATGCAGGCTAGCCAACATTAAATTAGTTATAGACGAAGACTTCAAGTGTTTTTTACTTTGAACATTTATAAAATCATGTGAAGAGCTTCAGAAACAATTTAACTTTCAAAAGAATATACAATGGACAACTTAGTAGGAGAAACTTTGCACCTCATTAAAAAAGAAAAGCAGAGAGAAAGAGAGAGAGAGAGAGAGAGAACAAAAAGAGAGGGTTTTATATCATAAAACATGGTAGTTGGTTGGATCATGCAATATCAGTAAATAGAAAAAACTAAAATCTTAGAATTAACTTTCAAAAGCGAAAAGTTCAGCAAAAAATGTCCCCAAATGAGGGGAGAGAGATTCTGAAACACCTTAGAAGAAAAAGAAAAGAAAAAGTCGAACAAGAGCTTTGCAATTAGTGTGCAACTATGATTTTTTTTTTAAAAAAAAAAAAAAAAAAAAAGAAGAAGAAAAAAGCAACACATAAATAAGAAGAAAAAATATATATTAAGACATCAAAAAGTATGTAACAGAAAATAAATAGATGTTAGGTTATTTGATTAAATGGAGAGAGAGAGAGAAGAAAAAGCAGTAGTCTAGGACAGATGGATATGCTCAGAATTACAATAATGTACAAACATTTTCAAACTGCAACATTGTTTATTCAATCCAACATGACGTAGTAATATCTAGTCTGGACATAACTGTAAAACATGTTTTTTATGCCACAAACACAAACATACAAACAAAAATTCACATACAAAACAAACCAAGGCTTATACAATGGATTGAATAGGATCGTGATTGCAAATTTAACTTACAAATCTGAATGCAAATCGTTTGCATCAGGGCTAGAGCTTTTCAAGTTTGATGAACTTGATTTGACTTGACTAGAGGATCTCGATAGGATGAGTCGTGCTACATTCTCAGCAGCAACAACACTAGTTTCTATGGAGTTGGCTGCATTCTCAAAAGAATTCACATAGTACAAAAATAATGAAGTGAAATTCCACAATCAAAGAAACACAAACAAAAATTCACATACAAAACAAACCAAGGCTTATACATTGGATTGAATAGGATCGTGATTGCAAATTTAACTTACAAATCTGAATGCAAATCGTCTGCATCAGGGCTAGAGCTCTTCAAGTTTGATGAACTTGATTTGACTTGACTAGAGGATCTCGATAGGATGAGTCGTGCTACATTCTCAGCAGCAACAACACTTGTTTCTATGGAGCTGGCTGCATTCTCAAAAGAATTCACATAGTACAAAAATAATGAAGTGAAATTCCACAATCATAACAAAGTGAAATTCCACAATCAAAGAAACACAATACAATCTCCATACATTTTACAAGGTATATTTATTTATAACAAAAATAACTTCCAGTATTACTTGGAACACTCTACAACTCTTATTCAGAGTCTTTAATGGTCATCTTAAAGTACATCCCACCTAGGTAGTTGAAGATGAAACCTACTCAATTAGATGAGGGCTTCATTCAACAGAATAACCCCTACATAAGTTCATTCAACATCACTACATCTCCTTAGAAATATAATCAAAAAGGAACATAAGTGCACATACATGTTGCTAGTTTAAGAGAAATTTGCAGAGTTACCAAAATATATAAAATAGACATTACGTAGAGGGCATAGTTTCTGGTTACCATCGAAGCATTGTAGCATTAGTATCTTTAGAATTTTTTGTCATCAAGACAAAGTCGAAATTCTGTTAAAAGACATCATATAGTCATGTTAGGATATATCATAAGAAATAATTCCAAAAACCAAAAACCATGATAGCAAAAAATGCCTTGCCAACTTGCTGCAATGCAATGAAGAAGCTTTCCTCCTCTTGACGTGTCCAAGCAGCCGATTGCAGTGTTTGTTTTTTTGCTGCACTGGAAACCGCATTCCAAAGGTACAATCAATATTCTCAATTCAGTAACAAAAATGACAAAACACCTCAATTGAGGCAAATGATTAGAAACTTCGAAATGACAAGCACAAAATATTACCTGGCTGTTGTACATCGTGGTTTTGAAAGGATACAGTTACACCACAATCACCATCCTTAATTAGGTAATGCTAAAATCAGTACACACTATGCTTGTCACTCAATTTATGTCTGTTCATTTGAGTGTTTGACATAACTTTCATCATTACCCAAAGCATCATTTGGGTCATGACCATCTCTACTTCCCATATAGACCACATACACCTGCATATAATTTTAAAGAGATAAGGAAAGAACTTCAAACTGTGTTTGAGCCATCTCTTCATGATTTTGAAGAACCAAACTGTGTTTGTTGATTTCCAACTCTACCCATAAACTGCAATTCCTTCTTATCATAAATCTCAAAAGAAATTTGTGCCCAACAGTCTACATTTATATTATCTAATAATTTTTTCTTAGTTTTCTCAACAACCAAACAAAGGACTGAAAGCACAATCCAGATCTGATAGTGCAGTTCAACACATCAATGAAAATTTTACAATGCACAGATCTCAAAATCAAGCAAAAAACTAAATTAAAACAATTAAATAAAAAAAAAAACAATCACATTGAAAACGTTACCTATAAACCATATTCTAGCTGCCAGAAACAGAATGGATGTTAGTATCAGAGTAGTCTTTCTCCAGTTGTGAATATGATCCTAAAGAATCATCAAAATTAGGACATTAAGTAATAAATATGGGCATAATTAGAGAAGACAGAAATGGGATATATATATATATATATATATCTATATCTAGAATAGTAGGGAGAGATGTTGAGTCCATCACCCACTACCTCAACCAAAAGGTTATAAAAAAATGGGACAACAAAGAAAATATAGATGGCTTATCAAAAGTCAAAACTTAAGAGTTGCAATAGAACTTCCATTAATTAAATAAACATTCCATTGTTGTGTCCATGATCGTGACCGTCTAAGTCATTACTGGTGAACCCCACTACTTCAAGAAAGGGAGTCATGAAACAAGATCCAACAATATAAAGAGTATTGGTTTAGCAAATAAATACCTAAAACTGTTTGCAAGATGGAAGCTATTGAGGATATGAATGCAAACCTGGAGAATCCCAACAAGTGGAGAGGAAAGCACATCATCGAGGATGTGAATTGCAACGGTAGACATAGCCATACTTGGTTTAACACAATGGAGACATACGTAATTCACTGAACCCTGCAACAGTGAATGTATAGAATGTTATTACTATGGTTAACATAATGGGGAAAAAAATCAATAATACAAATCTTATTTCCATTAGATGTAGGGTGCACTTCATCTAATAATACAAATCTTATTTCCAATATCAAAGAACAACCCTGCACTTAAAAAAAAAAGAAAAAAGAGTGATTAGTAAATGAAACAGAATTACCTTATGAAAAAAAACTGAGATCTTCAGCCATTAAAAAAAGGGAGGAAAAGAGCTTTTTATGCAGAGCTCAAATTCTTACGTACTCCAATCCCAAAAATAAGATAAAATAAATTAACAAAAACTAGATGCAAAACTTTCATTTGTGAAGAAAAAGATGTCAAAAATGTGCACCCACCAATTTTTCTATAAGATTAAACAATTACTATTTACAAACCCATGAGGCCTATGCTATCTCCTCCATAGACCTGATCAATGTTCCTTGAAACCTTCAAGAGACCAAAGTCAAATTAGGCAAAAAACATTTTGTAACAAAGTCTATGCAAGAAAATAGATAAATCCATCTGAAATAAATAGACCATAAAAATCGGAGAAAAACAAGGCCATTAAAGTTTCATGAAAACAATACCAATTCCTTGCTAAGTTCAACATCAGCTTGGTAGCTGCTCTACTTGCCTTGGCTACTCCCACAAAAGACACAAATACTCTTAAACACACAAAGATATATACACACAAACTTAACTTAACAAGATATCATAACATTAAAAACAAAACTTAACTTACATCATTTCTTGTTGCACTTTGTATATTGTTCATGTTGGATATGATGTACAAAAAATTCACACCAATTTATATTTATGTTATGTGATTTGTCTAAATAAGCATAAACTGTTATTAACTCATTGCCTGTAGTGTATATTAACCATAACCTGATAGGTGTTGTTACAATGAAGACTCAAAATTTAAAAAAATTAGTCCCTATAAATTAAACTATGTACAAAAAGCATACACCATAAAATAAAAGCAAATATAGATGAGGGAAAAGGGGTATATGAAGATGGATACCATACATAAAGATGAACAGCTGGAACAAAGAAAAATCATAAAGGTAAAGGTCCCTGTTTCACAAAGAATAAATTCTGCATCCACTAATAGCAAAAACACAGAATGAGCAATATAAACTGCTATGAAAATCTATCTACATTGTTTTGGTCAAGAATAGGAAACCTTGCAATATAAACTTAGAGCAAACATCAAAGGTAGTTAAAATATGAACAATGCTAAAATGCTAATATTGTATCAAGAAATTCATGAGAAAGCAATCACTCAAGTTCAACATCATAGCATTACAGATTGAATTCACAATTTGATAACTATAAATTCATATTTGAATGAACACATGGATTCAAATTCAAATCTCTCACAACAAATTTATAATTAAATATGAACTTCATGAGCAGAGAGAGAATTTACTGCATTAAATCGCAAGGGGCAAGTCAGGCAAGAGGAGAGTTGATCCAAACCCTAGGAGGAGATTCAAGATTGTAAACCCTAGGAGAAGAATCGACCGAAGGAAGAGAGAGAGAGCGAAGAATCGAAGAAACTGAGATTGGATTGAAATCAAAATCATGCAGATGGTTAGTAGACGATGCAGATGGTGGTGGCGGTACAGATGGTGGTGGCGGTGGCGGTGGCGGTGACTGTGGAGCTTCGAAATCAAAATCATTCTGAGATTGGATCGACCAAATGATGAATCACCGAGCGAAGAAGGTTGAATTAAGTTGAAGGAGCTGAAGGGTTTAGAGAGAGAGAGAGAACGAGTGAGAGATTTGAGGGATCGGTTTCTCTAAGACTCTAGGGTTTCTCAGATTCAAATACGTTGGTGAGAGATTGGAGGGTTTGAAGAGAGAGAGAGAAACACATTTGGAGGCGCTTTTCAAACGACTTGGATTACTTAAACGGTACCGTTTTAATTAAAATAAAATATGACGTTTATAAAACGTCATTAAATGTTAGAAATAGTGACGTTTAAAAAAACGCCGTTAAATAAACGCCGTTAAATCACACTTTCTTGTAGTGTTATGTTAGTACCAAACAATCAAAATTAATAAAAACTAACATTAATTCAATATATATATAAGCCACTACATTTAAATAAAATCAAATAGATAGAGAGAAAAAAAAATAAATGAGAGAGAAAGAGAGAGAGAGAGAGAGATGATCAAGATA